ATTTAGTCGCCAATTATAAATTTTTATCGACTAAAATAATTTAGTAGCTACATATTTGAACCAATGGCGACCAATTAATTTTTAGTGGCCAAATATTATACTTTTGGCGACTAAAAATGTTTTAGTAGCCAAAATTAGTTGGCAAAGATGCATTTTTTTGTAGTGAGGTGGGTGGTTGAGGTGCTCGTCGATTGATTTTTGACAGTTCGATTTGCAGTTTGAACCTGTCCGTATGTTTGCAGTTTGGGAAAAATTGAATCCGCAACTGTCTGCAATGTGGGTTGCAGTTTGTGCGGATAAGGTTTGCAGATGTGCGGGCCTTTGCTGACGGTTTGCAGATTGAGCTTTTTTCTTTAAATATTTTTTTTTGGCTTGTTTTTTTTCCCATTTTTTAAATATTTTTAATTGTGGGAGATTCAACATTATCCTTCATTAAAACTATATTACAAAAAATTAGAATGAAAATTAAATAAAAATTAACAGAGAAAAAAATTACATAACTAGATTTGTAAAAAATTCCAATTGAATAATAAGTATTTCAAACAAGGGAGTATGTGATATTATTATAATGTTATAATGTTAGAGCTGTTTGATAATCAAATTGAAGTGAGAGAAGAGAAGATTAGGATTACACATTTACAAAATTTACAAAAAAAATCTAATGGTCTAGATTTAAAAAAAAAAAAAAATTGTATACAAATGCGGACGGGTGAGGGTAATACCCACGACCAGCCCGCAACCCACAAAACAGGAAAAATTCTAAACCGCATCTGACCCTAACAATTTTGCAAAGCTGCCCGAATAGGTGCGGGCAGTTTGGATCGGGCGGTTCTCGCGGGTCAGATAATCCTATGCCCAGCCCTAGGTGGTAGTGGTGGTGGTGGTGGTGGTGGTGTGATGGAGGTCAGTGGCGGAGGTAGCATGTGACCGGGGGGGTCACGTGCCCCCCCTGGATTTTGGATTTTTTTTTTTGTTTTTGCAAACATAAAAAAAAATATTTAAATAAAAAATTACAAAAATATTATTAGAGTGAAATGTCAATGACATTTTAAAAATTATGAAAACAATAATGGCTGTTTTGATTGAAAATGAAGAGACTATTATAAATAAACCATATTAGCTATGAAAATTTTTGAATGTAACGACGATGTCATTATTAGTGATATGCAAGTATAAGTAATCTCGCTATAAAGAAATGAAATTTATTAGATTGTTAGTTACATTTGACATGTGATGTTCACTCCTTATGCGTTTATTTACCATTAGTGGGTGATATTACATACCAATGATGCCGTAGTATTACCATTATATTGAATTTTTAATCAAATTTTGTATCAAAACATAATTTATCATTATATAATTTATTTTAAGGCTTATATCCATATTTTTTTTGTATTGTCCATGATACACTAGTTACAAATAACATTATTTTTTTTATGTTTCCTGAAATCAATCGTAAAAATTTACGCGAAATATTTTTGTAAAAATTATTATAATTAGTAAGTGCCCCCTCTAAATTAATTTTCTGGTTCCGTCACTGATGGAGGTGATATTGGTAAAAGTTTAGTTCAAAAAACATTTTTCTGTCTTTTAAAAGTGAGAAATATTTTCCACTCAAATATGTTTACTTTTTATTGAGCATGGAAAATATTTTCTGTTGATGTTTATTTTCTATTGTACCAAATACTAAAAAATGTAGAAAATATTTTCTAGAAAACGTTTTCCAACGTAAGAAAAAGACACAAATTAAGAAAGTTCAATGTGAATGTAATGCAGATAAGAAGTTAAATAGTGCGTGGCTCAAAGAAAGAATTGGCGTGGCTGCTGTGTAGGGGTACACAACAGCCACTACTGTGCAGCCAATTGGGCCCTTTTTCGGGGTCCATTTTTGATAATCTGAACCATTCACATTTTAGAATACATCAAGTAGAACATACCTGTAAAAAATCAAGTTAATCGAATATCATTTACCCATTCATCGACACACATTTGTATATACTTACAAAAAATCAAGTTAATCGGATATCGTTTACCTATTCATCCACACACATTTGTATCTATAAAAATAAATAACAATTGTAATTTAAAGTATTAAAATGAATACAAATGTGTGTCGATGAATGGGTAAATGATATCTGATTAACTTGATTTTTTACAGATATGTTATACTTGATGTATTCTAAAATGTGAACGGTTCGGATTATGAAAACGGGTCTCGAAAAGGGCCCAATTGACTGCACAACAATGGCTGCTCTGCACCCCCTCACAATAACTTGTGCAAATAATATGATGCTTTTTAATTTTGGTGGTGAGAGCGACCATAGTCGTGGGGGAAAAAAGTTCAATATGACACGATATTAATTATAGATGGTGTTTGATTACACAACATTCAATTTGAACAGATAGGTGTGGATCTAAATATATGGGTATAGTTTGGTCATTTTGCAAAAACACGTCCTTATATCATACTATTTTTGTGCCTTAATTTTTAGGCAAAAGGAATTCAAATTTGAATTTATGACCTACGCACCCTAAAATATATACATACCTTTTCTTTATTTTTAAATAAAAAATTAAAAGAAGTGATATATATCTCTGATATAACAAAATTGACGATATTAAGTAACATGTGGAATAATGGTTATTATCTTACTATATATTGTGAAAAATTAATAAACTAATAGAAACTTCATAAAGTAATTTGCATGAAATTAGGGGACAATCTCATTATACATTCTATAAATATTAATGAAATATAGGAATACTAAAGTAATTTTCAAAAAGTTGTGGGGCCATTCTATAAAGTTGTATTAATTTAATTTTACTATTTTACTAACTTCATACCGTGTGGTAAAAAAAATAAAAATAAATAAGAAGTAAAAAATAAAAAAAGTACTAGAAAGTTGCTTAATCAAAGCATTAAAAAAAAAACCATTTCCAAACTAAGAAAAGTAAGAATAATTCTGGATATCGAAACCTATATATAAATATGTATGTATATATATATATATATATATTTGTAATTATTTCCCAAAACTTAGAAACCAAAGTGCTTTTGGTGAATTATTGTTTTTTCAATAAAAAACACATTTCAAGAAACATTGAAAGTTGTTTGTTTTGTGAATTTTAAAATTATTCCTGACAAAAACTGAAAGGTGTGAAATCAATTCTACCAACAACAAATATTTTTACGACTTTCATCACCAAAGCAGCGTGGGTGTACATCTTATTTTTCTTTTCTTTTTTTTTTTTAATAAAAAAAAAAGAAGAAGTCATTAGTCAAAAAATCATGAGGAGATTGGTTGTCAAATTTTCGTTATCTATACTCTATGTATGTATGTATGAGAAAATAATGAAAACTTCGTTAACTTGAAAATTTCGTTAACCATGCATAACTTTTTTTTTAAGTCTTTTCATTCATCATGACCCCTAACTCTAGAAATCTAATTCCTAGATAAGACTCTAAAAATCAAAACAAACCCTATTCTATGCTATGATTTTTATTTTTTTGAAATGGATTATCTCTTTCCGGTAGACTTAAGTTGTGTTTGGTTCATAGATTTGAAAATGACAAGAGAAAAATATGTGTGAAATTGAATGAAATGCAATTATATTTCATTTTCATTTTAACTACCTTTTTCGTTTTCCTTTCTAAATTTTTTCCCCAAATCTATGAACCAAACACAATTATAAGGTCCTGTTAGGCTTTGTGAGACCATTTGGTGGCCTATCTTAGTGACTAAATCATTAAATTTTTGAGGTTCACTAATTAGATTATTTATTTTTAAAAAATAGATAGCAAATATGATATTGAAAATAAATCATTTAATTTTTTAAAAACAAATGTTATACGATCATATGACTACCCATGTCCAATAGTTTGATTGAATTTTTTACTCAATAAACCCTGTAAGATGAACTATTGAATTCAAATTATTAAAATAGGATTTAAGAGGGGTCCATCGGACCCAACAATATCTAACAAAGAAGCCCCATAATAGATGGATAAATTATCAATATTTGCTTTTCACAAGGATAGAGACCTAACCTTCCAAATAGAAGTATCTCAGTCAATTTAGCTAGAGTAAATTATTATGCTAAATTATTTATTTATTAGGATTAATTAGACAAATGATCTTCAAAGTACGGGCTTTGTTAGCCTTTAGTCATCAATCTTTTAACTATTTCCCTTGATTTCCAAAACATGCTATCTATAACACTTGAGTCTTAAACGTTAACATTGTTCAAAATTAGTAATCGCAGGGGTATTATCAGAATTAAAAAAAAAAAAATACAACAAAATTAATAGATTAGAGAAGAAAATGCAAAGAAGCTAAAATGAAATAAAACGCATATTTTAAGGACCAAAATGTCTCACAATGAGTACTTCAAGACCCTGCCTGTATTTAGTCATTTTGATTTTGTTGATGATTCATGTAAAATTTTAAAAATTAGCTCTCTTGTCATTATTGATTTTGAACAGCACCAACATCAAGTATTAAAATGTAGTAAATCGTATACTTCAGGAAACAAATTGAAAAAACCAAACATATAATTTAAAGACCATTAATATAATTAATCCAATTTATTAGTCGACATGTCTTTAAAATTGTTTGTTGAAGTCTTTCGATGAATGGAAACTAAGGTACCTACTTCATCTAAATGAATAATTCACTGGATTATTTAGTTACTATAAAGCCCAACGTCCTCAAGCAAATTAACACGCCTATTGACTTTGACAGCATATGACTTACTCATCTGCCTACGCGTTTTTCTGACATTTATTTTCCACTGTTTGTGACAGTAAAGAGAAGTTAGTTTTTTTTTTTTTTTTTTTTTTTTAAAATAGCCAGCTTCCGCTTAACCCTCCCAAGCTGTATTTAAATACAACCGAGAGTAACCTAGAGATCACAGACATATTTCTTTCTTGTGAATTGCGCATATCATCCTGGATAGCACGCGATTGCTACAATAAACAGAGACTTCGGGTAATCAATAATGAACCCTGGATTAAAATGCACAAATTTCCCATCTCAAATACCCGAAACAAGTTCATAGCCGTTGGATGTGACACCTTTGCTGTTATTGGGGGTTCCGTGGGACGAAACTATACCACGGGTTGCTTGTCACTATGCGATAGCATCAACAATGTGATCAACGGCTCTTGCTCTGGCATTGGCTGCTGTCAGATAAGTATCCCCAATGGAGTGAGGAATTTCCAGTTCAGAGTCAAAAGCTTTGAGAACCATACCCGTGTATGGGACTTCAATCCCTGCAGCTATGCTTTTGTAGCTGAGGAAACTACTTATAACTTCTCTTCTACAGATCTTGCTGACTTACAGGGAAGAAGAAGGGTTCCGGTGGTATTTGATTGGGCGGTAGGAGACCAAACATGTGATGATCATGCTGCCGGAAAGAATCTAACAAGTTTTGCTTTCAAGGATAACAGCGACTGTGAAGACTTTGACAATGGTCCCGGGTATCGCTGCAAATGCTCTAAGGGATATGAAGGGAACCCTTATATTCCTAATGGTTGTCAAGGTAACCACAACAACTGTTAAAAACTTTACATTTTCTTCCTAATGTTATTGATGCTATGATATATATATATATATATACATATATTCAACTAATGAGACTCCAGGAAAAAAAAATTATATATACCAAAGCTATTGAATATAACATCAATGATCAAACTTGCTTGTTCTCTGTATCAGATATTGATGAGTGCGCTATTTCAAGCCCCTGTAACATGACATGCCTCAATTTACCAGGCACATACAATTGTTCTTGTGCAGTGGGCTACGAAGGTGATGGCAAAAAAAATGGATCAGGTTGCAGTCGAATTGCTGTTCCCAACAAACTTCCCTTGATTATTTATATTTCCTTAGGTAGGTACACGTACACCCACACATGCTATTCATCATAAAATTGTCTACATATTAAATTTTCTATCAAAATTCAACCGATCAATGCTTGTGATTTTGACTCTATCTCCAGTTTAGAGTTTACAGTCCCCAATTATTGATGCACTGATCAGAAACAATTGGAAGATGATATATCTCCAGTTTCCTTGCATCTTTCTTTCAGCAACCTAACGTTTCACTACTGGAAAAATGACTTTTAGCGGCGTTTTAAAAACGCCGCTATATGTATGAAAAACGCCGCTAATTCCTTTAGTGACGCTTACCACCAAACGTCGAGGACGCGGCCGTCGTTATAAGTTTATGACGCTTTAAAAACGTCGTAAAATTAGTATAGGCGGCGTTTGCTAAATGTGGAGCCAACGGTAATATGACGTCACACAAGCATTCAGCGACGCTTCAAAAACGTCGTAATAGCTTTTTTGTTATTTTGAAAATATAACTATAGTGACGTTTTAAAAAACACCGCAATAGATTTTTTTCCTTTTTTTTTTAAACTACTAATTTTGTAAGACTTAACTTTAAAAATATACCTGTAAAATAGCAATAATGAATAAAACTTTGTACAGACATATTTCTGTGAGATTACTATTCCCTCACATCTATAAGTTCAATCCATGCAGTAGCTGATCCATTCCTAAATAAATTAGCACTCACTCTACCATAGTTTTAAGTGTTGATTCTTGATGAATAGCCATTTGGAAAAGTATGAAGGAAACAATGGTGAGGACAGTCCATGATATTGATTACCAAAAAATTATAAAGAAGATAAACATGGACAGTCCATGATATTTTATTCTATTTTGTGTTTTGGGGGTTCATGGCTCTCGACTGCTGTGAAGTTCCAGCATCTCATGGCTTAGGTCAACAGAGACAGCAACTCGATAGTCTCGCAAGGCACCCATAACATCACCGATATGCTCGTGAAATGCTGCCCTCAAGTGTAGCAGGTTGAGGTCCGCTTTGAATGCAATTGCTCTTGACAATTCCGCTATCGCTTCTTTTTCCTTGTGGTTGTCCATCAACACTAACCAAACCCAAAAACAAAAAAACACAATCCGGTTCAATACCAAATAACATGAAATCAACTTTACACGACAATAATGTAAAGAAAAATGTTTGGTAACTTGAATTTGTGTCGTCCAAATGGCTCGAATGTATCAAAACGACGTCGTTTTATCCCCAAAACGATGTTGTTTTAAAACGACGTCGTTTTGAGACATTCGAGCTATTCGGGCTATGAAAATTCGGACTACCAAGCTTTGGCGAAGAAAAAGAAGAATCATTTTTTTTAAATATCTGATCGCTCTCAAAAAGTGAGGGATGTGATCTTCAAATCAAAGGGTCCAAAATTATTTGAAATACAACAAATAAAATTCATGACTTCTGATTCCAACCAAAATCATTTTCCTTGCAGAGAGAACACACACACACGCAAACACACACACACACACGCACACACACATCAAAACCTACGGTGTTGAGGAACTAACAGGTACTTTTGAGCTTGCTTCACGGCAACATCAAATAGAAAGCCTTAAAATTTACTAAAGAAACTATAGGAAAATGTCTAACCTGCAGCCCGATATCTGTAAGGATAGACGCGGAGGGGATCTAAATGAGTGACCATCTCTAGATCAGCCTTTGTGAGTTCACGTTCACTGTATTCTGACCTCTTCTTATAGGCAGACACATTGTTCCGAGCCTTCTCAATCAGTTTAGTCATTTCCTCATATGCAGCGGTCTTATTGTTTCTGAGAAAGTGGACCTGAGCAAGACCCTGGTGGGCTCGGGTGTGCCGGATTTTATGGGCATCGATGTAGCAATCAGCTGCCAAGTCTAGTTTCCCACAGTCAACATAAACACTTCCAAGATTGTTCAGAGCCTGAAAATTTCAACAATCAGACAAGGATTAGCCAATATTAGAAATTTTGGTTTATTTATTTTTTATTTTTATTATTTTATGCTATGCTACAGGAACAGATTGAAGTGAAGAAAAAATCTCTAAATCAGCAATGTACTTGTTAGTTGATAATTATGCAGCTTGGATTTTAGTCTTACTCAAGTTTAATCAATCCCGATATTTGTCAATAGTCAAAATCTATGTAGTTTGAATCTAAATTTGATGAGACTAGAATTATTTTTTTCTCAAATTTGCTTTGAACATGCTCAAAGTTGAAAATCTCCCATAATCCCCTCTTTCTAACAAATGATTACCTTTTTCACAGAACTTTTCTTGAAAGAATGTTACTTTGTTGCCTTGTTATGCTATTTTAGTGGATGAATCCTTTAGTTTTTTATCGTCGGCTAAATTCTGATTACCAGTTACCATATGACTTCCTCAAATCCTAGTCGGAGGTGGTAGCAGCAGTAGTGTGGTGACATTGGTAAGACTGTAGTTTAGAAAACATTTCCCACCTTTCAACAGTGGAAAACATTTTTCCGCTCAAAAGTTTGTTTTCTATTGACTTTCATTTTCCATCGTACAAATGCCATAAAATATGGAAAAAGTTTTCCAAAAAATACTTTCCACCCAAACAAACGGAGCGTAACTACTATTCTAGATGACTATTCCATAATGATTAATTGTATTGCAAGTTATAGCCTCGATGAAATATAGGGTAAGAGAAAACCATACCTGACCCTTTCGAAGCCGATCTGAGGGGCACTTCAAGGCATCTTGAAGAAGTGATATGACAGTAGAAGAACAAGATGAATCATGGCTAGAATCTGCCAATGCATAGGCTTTCAAAAAGAAGGCCTCAAAAGATCTCATAAGACTTATAGAGTCCTCTGCTTTCCGTAGCCTTCCTCACGATGACCCATATCATATAAGATCCATCCCTCATAAACTAAACGTTCATGTTCAGTTGATGCGTGTTGGCGAGCCAACTATAAACTTTGCATGGCTGCTTCTGGACAATTTAATCTGATCAAGAGTAATCATGAGATTAGTTCCTTTAACAATATATGTACTAGAGTGTATAAGTTCGAGGAAATTGATTCTTTATGGGATATTTGTCCTCCTTTAGGCTTCGATTTCTCCCCCTTTTAAGGGGATTCCGCTTTTTATTTTCTTTAATAAAATTTCATTTGTTACCAATAAAGGAAAAAAATAAACAAACAATATATGTACTAGAGTAGTAGTATTTTCCTTCTGTTTATTGGACAAATAATAAAAAAATAGTCAATGTTCTCAATTGAAAAATGAAAGGAGAAATTAATATCAAATAAACAGGAACTTAGGATCAGATCAGGATAATTTTTTTTTTATTTATAGGAAACTATATTAGTGTTCTCTATTAGTTTCAAAACCTTTTACATGATATCTAAATTTACTTTGTGGAGACATGAGCCTAGAAACAAAAATCAAAATAGAAGGATTATCAGCTGCTAAAAATAACCCAGGATTCATCGTTCGCTTGAGAAAATTGTAAGTCAGGATTAATAAAGGCAACTTTAAATGAAGGTATTTCTTTCTCTTGTATTCATGGATTGAAGTAAAGAAGTTGTCTACCGTACCGAAAGAGTCTATGTCTCCAATCTAAAATAAGGTTTAGTGACAGAGATGTGGATGAGATGTTTGGTGGAAAATATCCATTACTTGCAGCTACTGCATGTATATAGGGTTTTGCCAAGCAAGAAAACAGAAAAAAATAATAAAAGGAATACGGACAATTTACCCATTTGCAGTGATATAAAGGGATAAGCTCTTTTCCTCTGAATCCCCACCTTTGCACTACAGTAAAAAGAAAAAGCAAAACATAAATAAACATTTATACTGGAAGAAAAAAGAATGATCCAATCCACTTTTCTTCTGTTTTAATAAACAAATATATAACACACCATGTTTAATGTACTTTTAACTAATTGGGCAAATTAAGTGGTAGTACTACCCTGCTTTACAGAGATTGCTATCTCCTCCATTTTCCTCCTCAAAACCTTCATTTCTGCCAAGTCAATACCATTCTCTTCTAGGATCTCCCCATAAAGTTGAGAAACTAAAGCAATTCAAAACACCATACTCTCAATAACCCTTCAAACAAAAATATATACATAAAAACACAAAGAGACACATATATGTGGATTTAAATGGGAAAAATCTGGTGTGTGGATATTGGCATCAAAAACAGAGGAACACCTGTGATTTTTAAGAGAGAAAAGGTGAATCTTTGATACGGGTTTAGAAGGAAAAGTAGAGAACATGAATCTTTTGGTGTGGAAAAGGTACAACAATAAAAAAAATATACAAGTAACAACATTATCCAGAAAAGAGTACCTCAATAACTGATAACCGATGCTTTGTTTGAATTCTTGACCTAAACACACGTTAGCAACAGAATAATTAAACACAAGAAATAGTGGAATAAACCAATTTATGGAAAGTAGCAGAAGAACCCAAATGCGCATACTACAGGGCCAGACAGATCATAAGCAAGGTAAGGAAGGAGGGCCAGACAGATCATAATATACTCACCTGCCAAGTTTTTGCCATTCCACTGCAAAGGATCTCCGGACATATGAAATAGAAGTCTTCATTATTCAAAGATCGCATAGTCATCATCGACAACCTTGGTAATTGACTTTTGGGGTTTAAGCAACCAATTCTTATGGGCCACGATCCTCTGCCTAATCTAAATCTCACTAAATGCCAGTATCCAATTCTAAAGCACCCCATATAAAAGCAATAAACATATTTATGGAAAAATTAAGGTGCAAGACCTCACCTTTGTTCCACATGAAATCAATACCTTCCTCTTCACTCACATCTGCAGGTGAAGGGATACATCCCAACTGAATCCAAGTATTAATTATAATCTCAAGCCTATCTTGACAACGAGAAATGGATAATAAGAAGCAATACTACAAAGCATTCTAAAGAGAATACAGACATTTCCTTCATCCCTGAAACAATGGAGCATTGTTGGAGAATATGTACTCCAACGAGGACTCATTTCCAAGAACATCACACAAAGGAGTTGGGGAATTTGTTTCTATGGGTGGCTTGAAGCAATCAATGGCACAGTAAAAATCATGTGGTTTGTTGCAGGCAATGGCACAGTAATTACTGATTATCCATTGAAACTGGTTTTGAATTTTGATAGCAAGACAACCAAAAAAAAAGGGTTGATTAATGAAGGAAAAAAAAAATCAAGAGAATGTAATGCATAAACAAGTTATCTAATGGAG